CCAGCATGGCTGGCTGGGGAATTCTGGGAGTTGAAGTCCACTCATCTTAAAGTGGCCAAGTTTGGACAACACTGGCGTAAGGTGTGCCCAGTAAGACCTTCCTCACTTCAAATTCAGCTCCTGGTGATGTTACAAGGACATGTCGATGTTAGCAGTTATAATGTATGTTCACTTATAGTGAAAGCTTATCAATGTTTTAATCAGTGACATCACCAAGTCAACAAAACCTACGTAGTACAGATGTCACCAGGTCAGCAATCATACTAGGTACAATGTTTCCTTCATCTCATCAAGAAGGGATGCTTGCCAGCCCTAAGACTCATGATTGACATAAACCTCTACTTGCCTGTATTGACCTCAAGCAGCCCTATACTGAAAATCTGTTTTTGAAGCGAATTCTATTTTTAGCACTTCTGAAACAAATAAAGCCCTAGTAAAGTTTTATTTTTTTTTATTTTTTGAGTTTTAAAATGGGCTACTGCTGATGCAAATAGTGAGGTTGAGAGATTCTTTCCTGAGGTCCGTGCAAGCCCACATAGATGAATCAACTGTATAGCTGTGGATGTTTGGGGTTCACATTTCTGGGCCTTCTTTGGCTGTTCTAATTCTCATGGGTTGCTCTCAGAATTGATTCTAAAGATTTGTCACACTGGCCCCGAGTAACAGTCACTGAGGTAAAGCAGATGATAAATCAGATAAATCAGGGAAAAGCCCCCAGTTGAGACTTCTATCAGCAGAATTGATCATGGCCAATATAGATGAGTGGGTCCCAGTCCTCTCATCCTTATTTACCTATATTAATAATACTGCATACATCCAAGAATACGGGGTGTGTGTGTGTGTGTGCAGTAGTGTCACAATCTTCAAGAAAGGAGATAGAACCATACCAGCAAACCATAGGCCCATAAGCCTCTTAAATATAATTAGCAAATGCAAGACAAGGAAGTTGCATGAATTGATGGACCAAAAACATACCTTAGGGGACAAGCAGGTTTTAGGGAAGTGAGATCTACAATAAACTAGTAATTCTGCAACCTCTAGCAGAAGGTTCATTCATGTGGCACTAACTAAACACTGTATTAGTTTTTGTGGATTTCTAAGCTGCCTTTAATTCAGTTTCTAGACCACAGTTATGGGATAAGCTTAAAAACTCTTCCACTGACAATCATCTTCTGCTGTTGATGTCAAGTTTATAAGGAAGCACCAATGTCAGAGTCGGGTGTGATTGTGCTGGCCAATTGTCAAATGCAGTTACAACAGAGAAGAGTGTGAGGTTGCTTGTATTTTACCCCCTTGCTGTTTAATATTTACATAATTTCCCTGGTAAGCTATTTGCAAAGTCCAGAACTTTCAGAACTTGTTTTAGATCTTGTTGGCAGACCCAGGTGAGAAGTAAAATAGATTGAACTGGTCTTATTGATTTGAGATTTGGATAAGGCCATGGAAATAATTAGGCAATGAGTTGGAGATCCAGAGTTACAAATTAATTGGAAAGATTTCCCAACCACTGAGGGACTTACAAAGATTCACACCTGCAAAATAGTTGGATTTTCTCACATTCTCCAGTTATAGGTTGGATGAAAAAGGGTCATTTGTTTATTTCATTAGATTTAGAAGCTGCCCAACTCCAAAATGACACCCATCATCCACCCAAAAATGGGTAGAGCTTCAGTTGTACCATCACAGCTGCCATCTTGACTATTTTTACCCTACTCTGCAGACACTCCTCAGCTCTTGGTGGGAAAACTAGACTGTGTTCCAGGAAGGGAATCATAAAGTATCCCCATTGCTGACAATCAGTAAGATGATGAAAACTTTATTTTGTGTTCCAGAATGGATGCAAGTACAAGAGATTCTAAGTAGGAGTCCAAAGTCCTTAAAACTATGGGGAACTTGAGTGCCTCCAACCTCTACTGGCTGAATGAAGCCATCTTCATTGGGCTGGTCAAGTAGCGCAGACCCGAAGGAGAGGCTTCACACGGGTTCTCCAAGTTTACCACGGAAACCAGTTCAAGGGGATCATTAACCCATTATTCCCCCCCAGACGCGCTGAGTGCGCCGCGGTGCAGTCCCGCCGGGAAGAAGCTTCGGCTGTCCTGGCCTGACTTCGCCCGGGATTCATTCACTCATTCACTCATTCCCTATTTCGGGAAATGCGGGGAGGTTTTTTCCAGCGGTGCCGACGACGCGCTCATAAGCTGGTTGCCTAGTGGAACTGCGGAGGAAGAAATCTTTCCACTTTCCTCTCCTGGTGCTGAAGTCCGACTAGTTTTTTTTCCCGGGGCACCGAGTCCAAAGGAGGAGCCCAGAAGGGTAGTCCTATCACACACACCCCCGCCCCTCCCTCGCTCTCCTCTTTCTCTTTCAGCGCAATTAGTCCCACACTCACTTTCGGTTCCATCTAATCTCTGGAGATCCCCGCCCTTCCTTTCTCCTCTCCCGTCCCCTCCCTCCTTCTTTGGTCTCGGCTCTTCCCCGAAGCTTCACCCAGCTGCGAGCACTTTAATCGGCCTGCCTGGAACCTCGGCTCGCAGGCGCCTCAGTCGCGAAGAGCCCAGGTCGCCAAGCTAGTCCGGCGCGCGTCGACTCTCCGGAGCTTAAGGGGTCCAGAAGATCGGGGTCGACGGCGGGCTTAAGGGGATCAGAACCACGACCGTGGAGTTCTCTTGCATCTCTTTCCCTCCCTCCACCTTGCAGTCTTTCGACGGAGAAAAGAGAATCCTGGTGGCTCTTCCTCCTTTCCAAACTGCCATAAGTCTATCTTCTGAAGCCTCGTTACTTTCTTTCCACTGGCAAAATCCCTTCTGTATCCACCATCCACCCCCAGGTTTAATTCCCAGGTCTGCTTTCCTGAAGTCCCCCCACGGTTGACATCCCACTTTCCTTTGCTCTTTCTCCATGTGTTCCCTCTCCTGATGCTTTCCTTTGAGAAATCAGATTCCATCCTGCACCCACTCAAGCAAATTCCTCCTCTTCCTACTTGCCCACTTTCCCTTGCCCCCTCCAAAGTTCATCATAGACGTGATGGAAAAAGTTAATAATTCTAGCAACTCCACCACTGACATTGATGTTCTGTGCCCAGTCAATACAGATTTCACCCAATGGTTCCTGCCCTCTTTCTACCTCATTCTTTCCCTCTTGGGCCTTTTGGGGAATGGACTGGGCTTGTGGAGCTTATGCAGAAGTTCGCGGAAGAACGGTTGGAATTCCTTCAATGTGCTGTTGTGTAACTTAGCAATTGCAGACTTGCTTTATGTGATTACACTGCCCTTCATTGTGTCCTACTACCTCCAGGGACATGTGTGGCTCTTTGGCCAAAGCTGGTGCAAATTAACTCGACTTCTTTTCCATGTCAACCTTTATGCCAGCATTGGCTTTCTGACCTGCATCAGTGTTCATCGTTACCTGCGCATCGTATATCCACTGAAGATGATGGGAAGATGTCAGACACTTGGCTCTTCTGTCTCTCTGAGTGTTTTTGTCTGGGTCTGGGTCATGATTCAGCTTTCTCCTGATTTAACTTTCAGCAAAATGGACCTCAAGGGTGAGAAGTGCCATGACTCAACAGGACACAAAAACCTGGAGAAGTATCTATTATATTTTCTAATCTTAACAGTGACTGGCTTTGCCATTCCTTTCTTTGTCATCACTGGATGCTATTGTCATGTGGTCATTGTCCTCAGGAAGAATGAAAACATGGATCCTGTCCTCAAGCGGAGGAGCATCAAATTGGTGGTTGTGGTAATGGCACTTTTCTATATCTGTTTCCTCCCCTATCACATCTTTAGGAACCTTAACTTGCTGTCTCGAAGGTGGCAACATCAGGGATTTTGTGATCAGACTTTAAAGAACATTTATATCTTTTACCAAGTAACTCGAGTCTTGGCTAGCCTGAATAGTGTCCTGAACCCTTTGTTATACCTGCTGGCCCGTGAGGATTTGGGGGTGCATTTGAGGACATTTGGTAGAAGTATTAGACTGAGTCTGAAGACTGTTTGGCACAGCAAAGTCCAATACCATTTGGAACAAAGTAAATCAAATTCTATGTTTGATGAAGAATGTGAGGAGACATTATCTAGTGATCTGCAGATGGTTTTTTTAAAGGGCATATCATAAATGCATGAATGTTCCTTCCTCTTTTTTCCAACATTCCTGTCTTTGGATCGATACAGGTATTCGTTTTTTAATAGAATTTGAAAATGGCGTTTGGAGAACAATTTTGAAGCACTATGCAAATGTGCAGAAGCTGTAAAGTGAGAATGAATAGAATGCAGTGGGGTAGGGCTATGAAAGGTAAACAACTAAGTTTGATGGGCCTATAGTTTTATTATTTCCCTGAATAATAAACTCTGATGGATAGCGCTACCCTTATTAATTTATTATATGGGTATTTTCTATGGGAGGCCTTTTGTTTTTGAAGAGATTGGGATTTTTAAAAGTTGCTGGATTGAAAACACCATGTATGGATTATGTGTAATATTACTCCTTTCTCTCTGTGTGTGTTTATGGTAGAGGTGGGAGACCACGTAAGACTCAAACAGAAGATACATTCAGTTGCCATTAATGTATATCTGTATAGCTATAGCTATTCAATGAAATGTGAAATGTCTCTTTTTCCTTACTGGGGGAAGCTAGCCAGTTAAAACTGCATGGGTTCAAGTTATGCAAAACTTCTGTGACATCTCTCCCTCTTTCTTTTAGGCTGGGAGTGATGAACTTTGGCATATGATGGCTTATATAAAACTGTATAAAAATGGCTTATATAAAAAAACTAGAAATGCGTGGGCTTGTTTTTCAAAGGCTACATTATGGTATCACCCAAAATCACAATGTACAGATATTATCTTTTAATATATCTCATATACACACATCCATATGTAGATATCCTGAAGTGACTATACCAGTTACTCTGTGATACTAGACGCACTACCAGGGTATAAACCTCACTGAATTTGGTGGAACTAACTTCTGCATAGATCACTTTCACTCCTTTAATCACAAATATTTTAGCACACATTACCTTGTTCTGTGATTAACAGTTTCTTTTTAATCCCATCTTGAATTGTGTGCCAGGGTGGGGGTGGGGGAAAAGATATGAGGTACAAAACTAGAATAGAATTCTTTGTGTTATCTTTATAAAAACCCTAAAATGGACTTGCTTGAGAGAGAGAAAAAGAAAGAGTATGTGACCATCTTGTCATTCCTTTTAATGAATACAACTTTCTGATTTAATGTTTTTAGCTGTTGGGCAGCCAACAAATTTTTTTTATTTATTTATTTATTTATTTATTTATTTATT